AGAAGGCCAGACACTGAAGATGAAACTCAAATACTTTGGCCACCTAATGAGAAGGAAGGACTCCCTGGAGAAGAGCCTGATGCTGGGAACAATTGATGGCAAAGGAAGAAGGGGATGGCAGAGGATGAGGTGGCTGGATGTCACTGAAGCAGTCACTGAAGCAGTTGGTGTGAGCTTAAGAGCAGTCCAGGGGATGGTGGAGGACAGGAAGTCCTGGAGGAAAGTTGTCCATGGGGTCGGGATGGGTCGGACACGACTTTGCAACTAGCAAAAGGTATACACAAAAGGAGACACTCCTTCAGATATCCAGGCTCTAAACCTTTGCAATGTTTGAAACCCATCCAACAAAGATGGACTAGACAGTGCTCTGGACACTGCAGCTACAGGAACAATTTGAACTGTGGAGTTCAAGTTGTGATTAATCTGACTGACTTTATTCCTAAAGAGCCGGCCACTGAGGGTTCAAAAGGATCCATCTTGGGTCCAGAGTGTAACAGACCCTGCACCACCCAGAAAAGTTCTGCTGGATGACACTGGGAGGGTGCAATGGAGGCGGAGAAGAAGTTCTTCTTTGCCACCCTCGCTGCTACAGCATAGGCTCGGTAATGAGTTCCAGGTAGTGTTTGGTCAGATTCGGCATGGATTTTGCCCCACCTATACTCTACCTGCCTCCCTGCCTGCTACGTTATGTTAACCTTTGGGTTGAATTGAGCTCTCTGACGCATTTTGGGGGGATGTGATTGCACTGAATCATGGGCTTTGAAGTTTTTAAGCTGAATCAACAATTATTATTCCACACATATTTTCTTGGAAGGCCACGCTGTACCATGGAGTTAGAATCAATGCAAATATGGAATGTTTGTTATTAAATATTGTTTGATGTTCCGTGGGGCCGTACACTCCTATGCTGGAATATAAGTAATGTATCAATATCATGCTTCATGCTCTTCTGCATCCTAAAGCAGCATATACAAGTAAAGAGGGAGGAATTTCTCAGCTTAGTTTCCTTCATTTGCGATGTTCTCTAGTGTTAAAGCTGCTCATACTACAGTCCTATGTCAAACTTTAAGATTATGCTTAAGTCTGCAGGGAAATTCGTATTTATTTTTGTGTGAATTATTTTTTCTAAGACATACATTTTGTATATAATTATGCACATATTTTGCAAACAATTTTCCAAATAGAATGCATTTCCAGGAATATATGAATTTTTGTGTGCACTGTTCTCTTTTATATCGACTTTCATAGACAATGTTTGAGTTGCTTTGCAAAATTTGGACAAGTGTGAATTATGAAGAATAATGGAGCTTTGGTTTGCATACTTGTTCAAGAGTATGAGATTAGAAAGTTCCAAGTAACATGCATCACGCACTTGGAGAAAGTGGCATAGGCACCACCCCACTACTGCTGCCATCAGGACTGGCTAGCCCAAAACCTGCCCAAAAGACTGAGCACAAGGATCAAGCTGGGTCTGAGCCACAGTGTACGAAACAACTCTTTTGAACCCAGACTTTTCAGTGCCAAAAACCTCAGAAGGAAAACAGGTTTCTTCGCCTGCTGTCACCTGCCAATGCTTTTCTCCCTTGCTTTCTCACACTCTGGATCACCAACTATAGACTTTCACCTGAGCTCACAACCCATAAACATTCTCTCCCTCTCTCTCATTTAAAACCATCTTCCCACTGTAGTGCTAGATTCTGATCAAGACTGAGTTTTATGTTCTTGCTTTAGAGAAAGAAGGAAGGCTGGATGGAAGGAAGGAAAGTTGGTCTTGTTATGTTGGTGTGTTTGCGTATTAGCTATGTTTTCATAGCAACATGCTTTGGCGCCCATAACTGAATGAAGGGCAAAGTTATGCATGAGAAACAGCCAGCCGTTACCCAGAGTTAGTGGCTCTTTCTCACTTTGTGGCGCATTCCTTATTCTCAAGGAAGAGTTCATCATTTAAAATCCCACCATTCCCAGGATTGTACAGAAGACAGATACTGGTCCCTGCCCTGTCCCTTGAACACAGCCCTGCAGGCATTAGCCGTGCTTTTGATCAGAGGTGAACATTCCCAAGGCAGGCACTAGGCTCTCTGCCCCAAGCCCACACCTTCGCTGTGCAGTTCTCGAGAAGCCAGGATTGTTCACAGAAGAGCCCACAGTAGGGATGGTTTACAAAGTCCCCCCTGCCCCAAAGAGGTTAAGTGATGGCTTGGCCTTTGATTAACCCATATGCTTTTCAGAATGGGAATCAACTGGACTTCTGTTAGGGCAATTCTACAAAGATCCTCTTTGAGCAGCGGAAATGAAGGAAGTGCTGTGAGTACCATGGAAACCTGTCCTTTCAATTTTTATTAGGCCAGCTGCTTGACCTCTGCTTTGCCTAAAATGGTCTCTACTCTTTTAAGCAGCCGAAAAGGCTCTTCACTATCTCTGTTTGGCTAGCCCCAGCTCCATGTGCTTCTCAAGTGTGAGTTTCTCGCCTCCTGTGTTGGCTCTGGCCACCTCCTTCTTCCATCGTTGTTCTAAGGGCCAGAACAGATATTGTAGTTGCTTGGGTCTAGCAGCTGTATTTTGTTTTCATCTTGACCCTAGGGTAGGGGAAGGGCCCCTATTTCAGATTGATACCCTAGCATGGGGGATAAGGGATAAGAGAGCCAGTGTGGTGTAATGGTTAAAAGCATGGGACTGGGACTCAGAAGATCTGAGTTCTAGTCCCCACTCAGCCATGGAGCCAACTGGGTGACTTTGGGCCAGTCACAGACTCTCAGCCCAACCTACCTCACAGGGTTGTTGTTGTGGGGATAAGATGGAAGAGGAGATGTAAGCTTCCTTGAGCCCTTTGTAGGAAAAAGGCAGGATATAAATCACAATATAAATAAATAAATAAATAAATAAATAAATAAATAAGGGGGCTTTAAAGATCCTAATCAGCTCCCTGAACTTGCTCTAGAGTAAAAAATGAACGAAGGGCATAGATGCTAGGCACAGATTTAAAGTAATGTCTGGTTTGGCCCTTCACCTGACTGCACACCTATTATATAGGTATACCTTGGGGGAGGTTTGCGTGGGGGGCAACTTCCACTGTCTAAATTACTTAGCCGAGTCACAGGATAAACCTGCTCCCATACCTGAGTGTATAGCGTGTTCTTCACAGAAGCAGGGAATATGGGCAGCCGAATGGAGTGTGTGTGCTCGAGGCAAAACCAAGGTGTTTTGTACCTGTTGTGCATTGTCTGCAAACACTGAATATGGTATTAGCTGCATAATTCTGCTTCCTAATAATTCAGCATTTTAATGCCCACGTTTCTAGCACCCATAGAGATGTGTTGCGATATGCTTAAGTAAGCAACGCTTGCTGGAACTACAAAAGCAAAGTGGACTGGAAAAGATTTCCAGGAGTTGGGGATCAAACAGTAAAAGAAATCCCATTTTTGATAGGGAGAAGAAAAAATGTTACTTATGTTTATCACAGCTCATGTAGTATGCATGGCCATCGAAAGCCCTCCCACCCGTGCAAAGGACCTTTAGGTCCAGCATCCGTATTTCTTGGCTGATACACTCTGGGCAAGTCCTTGTCTCTGAATCTGTCTTGTGGACTTGTTTTGAGACTGCGGTGATGTCAGTGTGAGCCCTTCGCAGGCTGCAAATGTTGAAAATAGCATAGGCACAAAGTAGGTGTCTTTGCCTTGTAAAGTGGGACACTAACACATGCGATTTGCCATCTTGGCAACAGATTATTGGCCCTTCTAAACTTCAAATAACTATGAATGTTTGATCTGGCTGCCACGGGGATTGCCAGCTGGAAGCAAGCGTGGTGCGGATAAGAGTACAAAGTTTTTTTAAAAATTGTATGAACTAATTCATGAGCCTGCCTGAGGATCTAGACTTTGCGACTCCTCAGCATTTATTTACACAGTGTGTCCCCGGGGGCTGGAAGGTTTTCGCATCAGACGTAGTTATGTGCTACTGGCCTTCCTCTTGTGTTGCTGGGACTTCTGGCCTCACATTCTGATGACTTTAACTGACCCTGCTGCTGTTCTGCCTCTACTGAAATGTATATGGAGATGCTACTTGGATAGCAAGTCCTAGGAGGAAAGGTAGAAGGACTGAGGGCTGCAGCTCAGTGGGAAGGGGCCATAGCTCAGTGGCAGAGCCTATGCTTTGCATGCAGGAGGTCCATGGTTCAGTTCCAGCATCTCCAGGTAGGACTGGAAAAACTCCTGCCCGAAATCCTGGAATGCTTCTGCTAGTCAAGTTCAACAATACTGGCCTAGAACAAACCCTGTGAATTTGTTTCATTTAATCTGGAGAGGAGCTTAAGAGCTCCAATAAGAAGAGAAGAAGAGCTAAGTTGTATCAGACCATCGAGTTCCATCTAGTCCAGGATTCTGGTCACTCAGTGGCCAGCCAGCTCACACGATCCGGCAACCAGGATAGGAGTGCCACAGCAGCCTTCTGCCCAATTTCACCAGCATCCGATGTACACAGGCATGCTGCCTCTGATATCACAGGTAACACATAGCCAACAGGACTAATAGGCATTGATCATCTTCCCCTCCAAAACTTTTAGGATAGCTGATGTCCAGTTTCTGAAATGCTCTCCAGAATAATGGAACAACATTGTTTCTCTGCTGTTCTTGAGAGTAGAACCCAAACCAGTGGGTTCAAGTGATAATATGGGGAACTTCCTGAACATGATGGAGAACTTCCTGATGGTATGAGCTGCTTCTTTGGAAGATGTTGGACTCTTCTTGGTTGGAATTTTTAAACCAGAAACTGGATTGCCACCCATTAGGGATGCTGTAGATGAGGTTGCTGCATCCAAAAGGGGCTGAATCTCCTGAAGCATCTTCCAATTGTTCTGTGCTTTTATATTATATGGCCAACAGAGCTGAGATTTAAATCAGGAACATGATTATACATTACAGACTTCACCACTGCTCTTTCTTAGAGCCTGATTCACAACCCTGCTAGGATATTACTTATTTAGATTGAGGGACGGACAACCCACAGCCCCGGACCACATGTGTCCCTTAGACATTTTTGGCAGCCCACAGTGACATCACAGCTGCCCAATAAAAGTGGCACTTTGTTGATGAAATTTGGCAGAACAGAAGTGAAAAGAAGGGACTTTTCTTCTTGTCTGAAAACAAAGGCAGTCATTTTTGCTGAAACTCACTGGCCAAGCAGCAAACATTGAACAGTTGTAAAGACAATCTGCCTTGTTCAGTTCCATGGTCCTGGATTTCAGCAGCACAGTATGGTGGCACAGGACAGTGGTTCAGAATAACTCACCCCAGTTTAGACTAGAATACATAGCGCACCCGTCTGCCCAGACAACGCCGCTCAGGGGTGGGCAAAACGGTGCTTCTAGGCACTAAGGTTTCCCTGGACACCTTTCTTGGTGTCCACCGAGTTAACTTCACCCTTCCCCTTTGTTAAAGAACAGATTGAGTCAAGGCAAAATGGGGGCCTTCTGCTTGTGGTGTGAGTGTGTAGTGCTAGCTCCAGACACTTGGGCATTGGCCTGTCTCACTCAGACAACCTACTTCCTGACTGCCATGGTTGCCAGCTGCTCACCCTCCTTTCCTTCATCATTTCTGCCGAACAAAGAGCTGATTTGCAAGCCAGCAGTGGCTCAGCCACCACCACTCCTTCTTCTCACCACTTTTTTGCTTGCTTGCTTCCTTTCTCCAGCTGGGCCAGAGCAAGAGGTGGGTGAACAAAGATCTACTAATGTTGCTTAGGAGGAGTAGGTTGAGGGGCTCCCGGATAAGGCGCAGGTCCTTGCAAGTGCTCATCCGCCTCAGACTTTCCTCTCTCTCTCTCTCTCTCTCTCTCTCTCTCTCTCTCTCTCTCTCTCTCTCTGTGTGTGTGTGTGTGTGTGTGTGTGTGAGAGAGAGAGAGAGAGAGAGAGAGCAAGATTGATCCAGAAAGAAAAAAAGACCAGAGGACTAAATTGACCGGCAGAGCAGAGGGGAGACAAGAACACTTTATTTTCTCTGAAGTAGGCTTCTGTTTGTGCTGAAAACTATGGACTCAAAGGCACTGCTCCATGTGGCTCATCTTAGACAGTACTTCTGCCTCGGACTCAATCTTTGGGGCAGGTCATGGTTTGCTGCGATCAGCCCTGCCTCTCAAGGAAGGGCTATTGCTGCCTTCAATTGTTTCTCTGTTTGCCAGATACACCCATGGGTTCAAAAATGTTGTCTACCCTTACTTGAGTGGGTCAGTTCAGAAAGCGCATAACACAAGTTTTAAGTCCTTTCATGTTCGAAACTTGCCAGCACTCAGTCCTCAAACCTCCCTCAATGGTCCGACCAATTTCGACCGCTGTAGCCCAGCATCCTTACCACGCCTGAGCCCCGCTTCATCCAGACGATGGTCAGAGATGGGTTCCCAATCCATGCACAGTTAAATATGGCATCTGATCCAAGGTCCACGAGGAGGGACTGTGGTTCAGTCATCATGCGTGGCCCAACTGAAATAAGAGATCTGTCACAGAAATGCCCCTGTGCAGCTCAGGGCAATTGCTCAATTGACAAGAAAGGGAAGGGAAGCCAGATAATGGAGCACTGAGATCAAGGTATCAGACTTGCACTGCCTATATCCTCAACTGGAGGAAACCTGAGAATCCTGATGCCTCATCCAGAATTCTTCAGTCTAACACCCTCATTGGAAGATTCGTGTGTATATGACGGATTTCTCCAACCACCTGGTACCCTCTAAATAGCTTGGACTACACTCCCCAGGATTCGTGGCCATTGGCCATGCTGGCCGAGAGGCTGAAGTCCAAAGCCTCTGGGCAGCAGTATGTTGTAGGAAGGCTGCCAAATGAAGACCTGGGCGTAGGTTCTTCAGCTTTAAAATCGTGCATTTCTCAGCATTGTGAAAGGGCCTCAGGTTGTCAACTGTGCTACCTTTGGACACTGAAGAGGAAGACCTGGGGATCAGGAGAGCATCACCAGTCTGCACTGCTGCCTTTCTCCGGTGCTGTGCTCTGACCCGCCTCTCAATTCAGCTGGTGGAGGACTGGATAGACTTGGTGATCAGAACAGTTATCAAGTCACAGGAGGATGCCTATATCCCATGCAAAGTACTAGACCGGCACCAGCACCTTCTTTGGATTTGACCTAGCTGGATAGGATTGGACTTGCTCAAAAGGCTGACCACTAATTGTACCACAAGAGATTGGTTCATACATGGCTTTCCACCAATGCTCTAACCAATCACTCAACAATAGTTTGGTTCTCTCTAGTTCATTTTATTTGGTTTTTTAGTCTGTTCTAAGACAAGGATGAGAATGTGGGTGCAAATGTGCAATTCCCAAAGCGAACTTCAAAGGTTGCATCCCTGCCATCCAGTACATAACCGGCCCCGGGCTACAGAGGGACCAGTCGAAGGCATCAAGTCTGTTGGCCAGTGCTCCTGAAGGTTTCACAGCTGAGCCATACTTACAGTAGACGTCTACGGTCCTGCTGATGTTGGTACTACCCAAGGCATTGGTCACCTCACAGGATACTGGCTCGAAAAAATAGGTGTAGTCAACAATGGTCTCATAGGAGTCTCCTGAAGCTTCTTTGATAATGTGTCCCTTCTTGGCCCACCTGCAAGGGCAAAAATAAAGCGAGCGACATGTCTGTGTAAAACAGGTACAGCATAGAAATGTGTCTTTGCTTTTATGCTATAAGCATGGTAAAAGGCAGGAGAGGAAAATTCTACCACTGCAAAACTCAGTGAAGCACCCAGGGAAAAATGTCACAACATTGCATCCATGTAAAATGCTACCATACCAAAGCTCCTTTAGCAACATTCTTCAAGCAACATTTATTTTTGGTGGCTTGTATAGACATTGAAAAAGCTGCCGGGTCAGCCAGCATTGATTTGCTTCACACCATAGGTCAGCACAAAACTGCTGGATCAGCATGGTGAGTTACTGCACACAAACGTCTTGCCTTTTATTTTGTTTCGGACAAGAATATTCCACCTTCCCTCCATCATGATGCTCAAAATGTCAAATATGGGGCTCCTGCGCAAGGTGCACAGCTCATGTGCCTTCTGATTATGGCTGGAGATCCTGCTATATGAGGTGGCCTTCCCTGAAAAGATATTTTGGGAGGCCCTCATGGAGCAGCGTGTACTTATGGATTGGCATACTCCATCTGCAATTTTCCTCTTACCTCTAACTATGTGGCTAAATAAGAGTAAGTGAATGCGTCTCAGTGGACAGAGCATGGCACTCACAGCAGGGAAGTGTGGGTTCAAGACCTCACTGCCAGCCAGTCATAAAATGCCCTGGGTGACTTTTGGACAGTAGTTTTTTCTCAGCTCCATTTGGTCATTCTGAGAATAATTAGGGATTACCCCATGTAAGTGTGGAAAATGCCAGCCAAACTCAAACCGAAAATGGATTTATCGCAGCAGAACAATGTAGAAGTAAGATTCTGAAAGAGCCCACCTTTTCTTGTACAAACATTTTAGCATTGTTTCATCTATTGTGAAATTCTGAAGGTGGAGGAGGAGGAAGAGGAGGAGAGCTTAACTAAATAGAATGGACTGAAAGAGACTTCTTTGAAAATATAAAGGTGTCTTTTATTATATGTCGAAAGATGTGATGGGATCCAGGACATGCACACACGACCAAGCCACCTTCTTTCCCACCCCACTTGGTCAACACCTCTGATATTCCTCCACTGGGGACATTTTGCCATTTGCTCAGCTGCAGATGGCTGAATCTGCAGACAGTATGGAAATGGAATGTGTCAGCAGCAGAAGATGTTGCTAAACTATCTCCTGGGGTTGAGACCATCTGTAATGCGGATTCCAACTAAGCCATCCTAGGAAGTTCATCCATCTCTGCTAACTAAACAAGGCCTTCTTTAATTGACTCATTCTTAATCAAGTTATATAACCTGTTGTTCCTGGCAATGTAGCAGGCAGCCTCCAACTGTTAGCTGCTATCTTCAAAGTATATGTGTGTGTGTCTGCGTGTAGGCTTTTGACATTTAAAAACACAATTCCTGAAATAAACTTGGAGAGGCTGTAGCTCAGCAGTAACACCCAAGATCACATGTTGACGATATCAAGTTCAATTGCCAGGATTGCTTGTTATGAAGAAGTCAGGTAATAATAATGGGCAACAGCCCTGGCTGAGACCTTTTCTTTTTCTGGAACAACATTTTCCTCAGACTTTTGTTATGATTACTGAAATTACATTTTTGTTTAAAAAATGTAGAAGCAAAATGACCAGAGCAATTCTTAACACATGCCAACAGCTAGCTGGTAAAACTGTATGTTTCTATTCTGTAAAAGTTTTCTTTACGTTTGCCGGTTGTTAACGTAGGGACTCAGACGATCTGGGTTCTAGTCCCCGCTCAGCCACGGAGCCAACTGGGTGACTTTGGGCCAGTCACAGACTCTCAGCCCAACCTACCCCACAGGGTTGTTGTTGTGGGGATATGATGGAGGAGGAGGTGTAAGCTGCCTTGAGCCCTTTGTAGGAAAAAGGCAGGATATAAATCGAAAAATAAATAAAAAATAAATGAGTGAAAAAAAGGAAACTTGACGCATTTTGACTCTCAGAATACCTTTTGGAACATTTATATAGACATAACAGGAGGTATATTGAAACTGGAAAACCAAACTGATACCTGCTTGTAGTTAGATGAAAAATTGCCCTCTATTTAAAAGAACTGTCTTCTCAGATTCCTTTATGTCAGCCTTCTGCTCTAGATGTTTTAGACGATTACTCCCTTGATTCCTGACCACTGCCCACAGTGGCTGGGGTTAATAGGAGCTGTAATCCAAAACTTCTGAAGGAGAAAACTGACCTGTGTCAGGAAGTTGCAGTTCTACAAAAGCTGCTCAGGCTTGAGACTGGGTAATGTATAGATGGGGCAAGCCAGGAACAACACTGTGGTCTGCCCTGGCTGAGGCGATTTTAGCCAGGACAGGGGTCCCCTGAGGCCTTGGTGATGAACGCTGGCATGCTTTGGCTCCACAGCCTCAACTGGGTTACTGTGCAAGGGTTCGGGGCCAAACCAGCATCCTGCAACTTGCATCAAAAGGAGAGGAGCTTTTGCGCCTGCTCTGGCTGAGAGTTTGAATAAAGCCTGCCTCCCCCTTCTGCTGCCTTGAGGCTCTAGACATTTATTTTGGGGAAGGAGGTGTAAGAGCCAAAGTGGTGTAACCACTGGAGAGGTAGAATCGGGTGCAGGAGATCTGGGTTCTAGTACCCATGTTGGGCCAGTCACTGACTCTCACCCCAACCTACGTCATCTTATTGTTCTAGCTCTCCAGGAGGAAGAGTAGGATCATCTACACCTTTGACTTCTTGGAAGAAAAGCAAGATATAAAAATAAGAAATAAATCCATAATAAATAAGGAAGTAGCACCCTGTAGACATAAGTCCCTGTCAGGAAAAGTTTCCACCACTGCCACCGCTTTCTCCTGCTTTAAAATTACTGGGACTCCAGTACTGGACGCCCTCCCTGATAGAATGCACACAGCACCCCTGCAAGCGGATCCCAGGTGGATCATGGCTGACCCCAACACAAGTATACATCTGTTCGGTCTGCCAAGTGAGGAACAAACAGAAGCGATGCTGCCACTCACAATGTTCCACAGAAATGCTGAGCTGCCAGGCTTGTAAAAACAAGAAGGCCCTCAGGCCAGGCCCCAAGTGCCTGGAAAAAATCCAGCCCAAGGCATGCCAGTTCAGGTATTCAGACTGTCAGCATCAAAACACAATTCAATTCCTCTGGCTTCTCCCCTCCCCCTCCCCTCCCTATTTTAATCAAAGGGAACTTTATCCCTTTAAGGCAGTTGAAATAGCATTATATTGGAAAACCAAGCTGGCATTTCAAACATTGCAATGCGAAAATTGTCTTGGAGGACAAGCTGTCAACTCAGCACTTGAATTAAACTGCTGTTTACCAAACAATAAGCAAATGTGACCTAACGGGCCACCATCTGGCATCTTGCCACACACCAGGGATGTTCAGGCCAGTGGAAGGGAGATCCTGGCAGAGTGCAAGAGATTAGATGAAAAGAGCTGGGAGAGAGAAAACACAACGACAGCCTCCAAACCACAGCCAACATCTAGGTCCCTAAGTATTCACTGCTGAGGTTAATGGTGGGTAAAATCAGTCAATATCTGGTCCATATCGGTTTTACACGTATGCAACCGTCCTATGCCATTTCCATGCCAGTCCGGATTGTCGTCTTCTTGCATAACAATTCATTTTGGTGTGCAGCTTTCTTAACATACATTCTACGTGCAATTTCCCTCCAGCTTTCTCTAAGGTACTCATTTGTCCACGTAGCTTTTGTGTTGAGAACTGCATTTGGAGAAGAGCACAATCAGAAGGATAATTCATTTGTGGATCAGCCAGGAAGCAAGAATGAGGATGGTTCATATGGAAATGCAGATGGGATCAAATACCCCTCAATTTCTCCCCCATCTCTAATCAGGGTTAAACTCTCTTTCATTCCAGGGTGGCCTTTGTCATTCTGAACAAAGGTTTTAATTATGCCGTTTCCCTGGTATCCAAACTATTATGCATTAAAGCATCCTTCCTACTTCTCTTTTGGGCAGGAACAGAAATCGTCAACATTGTCATCAAACAGCAGCTTGTAAAGGTACAAATAAGCAGCGGCATCAGTATAGTCTACTGGTCATAATCAGACATGCAAATATCCAGCACAGAATAAGACAGTGCAGAACAAATTGTTTCTTATCACATGAGTAAGTTTCTAGATGGGGGAAGACATCTCCTTCCTGATTTGTTCCACCTCAGAACATGCTCAGCATCACTGTTGCTTTGAATAATGCAGCTTGACCACTTACTCTTGCCAAAAGCAATCATATGCAAGTAAAGTTTCATGCTTTATGAGATGCACCGGCATTGTCTGCAGCAATCCAGAAGCACAAGCTACAGGCTTGAGGTTTCAAAACAGCCACGTTTATGCACTGGAGTGATCCAACTGTGGCTCCCAGGCATGTTTAGAAAGGTGATTTGATAACTCACACCTGTCATTCACATCCCACTTGCCTGCTGTGGGAAATGTGGGCACAGCAGTGATAGCCTAGTAACAGAACACATGCTTTGTACTAGAGATGGTGTTAGGGACAGCCCATCATGGCTGGTGCCCCGAATCTTTCCCTTGGAGCCCCAGATGCCTGGGAAGCAATCTGTAGCAGCACCTTGCTCTTCAGGGCACTTGCTGAAGTAAAAGTGCAGGGGCTCTGGTGATCTCTCGAGCATCTGATCCCCAAATTTTCATAGATTTTCACCCACGCGCTTCACTTCTTGTTGCCAACCCTTGCTCATGTTTTCTGAAATCAAATATTCTTCCCCCTTGCCTTGTTCTACAAATAGGGGTATTCTTAGGGGACAAGAACACACACGGATACAGACTTTAGAACAGAGGTAAATTAGCACATGCAGTTTTATGCTCGTTCTTTGTCCTTATGGGCCTGAGCCCAGGATCTTTTCAGTTCTTAGCCTGGTCCCTGGCTGGTATGCACCCTTGATCCAGTCTCTGGCTCCTCCAATCTGAAGCAACAGATAGAAGTTGACGTGAAAGGATCTTTCTGCCTGAGACC